AAAATCCAGTTGTGATACAGGGAGACCTAGCTGCCTATTAAAGACAGCTCCCTTGGTTCTACTACTGGTAAGCCCCTGGGAGATGCTAACCTAGGCCTCCCTCTGTCAGCAGGTTCTGAGCTAGCTCAGCTGCCTGGCTTCCTGTCTTTTGATTCATCATTTGCCTTCCTGGCTTTGGACCCCGGAGTTGATTCATGTGTGAGGGTGTGCCCTTCCCCTCCCCAGCTGCCTTAGAAAACTACCTTTGAGGCTGAGAACAGATTGCGAAAAGCAGCCTTTCTGTGCTGTGTGTTAAAGGAGGCTGGTGTCAGAAGCACTTCTGGCCCACACCCCTTCCCTCCTTCCTTCCTTTATCCCATTATCTCTCACATCACTGTGTCAGGAGAGGACTTGATTCTGAGCTCTGTTTTGTTTTGTTTTTCTTCCTCTTTAAACTGTATTTACAAGTTGCCCTTGTGCCTTCAGGTTTTATTATCTGATGGCAGAGCAATCAGGTTGAGAGATAACCTAGTCACCAGATGAATAGGTGACAATGTAATATGAGTGATTAAAATATAAATCAATTAAACCTAGTCGGATCAGCAATCTCCTACCCTTGTGGGCTAAGTATCTTGAGTTTAATAACACACTTATCAAGGTTTCATTTAACTAGACTTATAATTATGCCTTCATAATGCTCTCTCTGCTCCTTGCCACTCAGGGTTTATAAAAGCGCTCCTAATTGATTGCAATTATTTTAATGCAACAATTTCGGAATCATTTTTATCCATTGCTTAAAGACATAGCGGAGAACAGCTTCAGTCATCGCCTTGTTGCTAAGAGATAAAATACCATGACCACAAGCAACTTGAAGAGGAAAGAGTTTATTTCAGCTCACAGTTCCTGGTCACAGTCTATCATTGGGGGAAGTTGGGGCAGGAACTCAAACAGGACAGGCCTCTGGAGACAGAAACTGCTGCAGGGGACTTGGAGGGGGGGGGCGCTGCTTACTGCTTCTGTGTCCAGATCTAAGCTATGTCAGGGCTTCAGTGCCAATGGGGAAGCAGCAACTCCAGCAGCTGGCACGGTCTAAAGAAAAAGAGGTCCAAATTCGCTGTGGCACCACAGCTTATTTGCCCATTCTAGTTTGTTTCCTTTTCCATTTTTATTAGAGCCTGCTTTTAATTTCTTTCTGATTTTAACCCCCTCCTTGGCTATCTGCAATGCAACCTTCCTGAAAGCCTCCCGAACCTTCATCTTCTTCCCTCAGCCTTCAGTCTGCCTTCCCTAGCACTGCTGAAGGACTCCCCCTTCTGCCCACATCTGATCTGATGTGAGCTTCAGTTAAGACTTTCAGTAGCACCGCATAAAGACTTGAGATGCTGAACACTACTGTGTGTGCTGACCCCTCCTTCTCTTCTCCTTCCTTGAATCCCCGTTCCATAAACTTCTCGCCCTCTTCCCAACATCCCCATCTCTCACCTTTCCTGGATCCTGCCATATGCCCCACAGACTACATTGTTTCTCCTCTCCCGCCTGGAAAGTTTCCTAAAATCATTCCCCAAGACCTTGGGCTATAAAATCCAACCTTCAAAAAAGAAAAAAAAAAAAAAAAATGCAACGGGTTTTTTTTTTTTTTTTTTTTTTTTTTTCTTATCTGGGCCCAAAGTCCTTGATCTTAAGCTGCCAATATATTGTACTTCTCCCTTTTCTCATCAATGTTCTTTTTAAAGATGTCATACCATCGTCATGAAAACCCCGAACTTTAGTCGCCCTTACTTCGGCATGCCTCTGCGTGACTCACGTCAGTTGCTTCTGAATGTCTGGCACTGCCTTACCTGAGTATAGGAAGCGTGAATACAGTGGGCTTCTGAGTATTGTCTTTGGCACCCGTTTCCTTATGTTCCAATGTGTCTGTCCTTGTCTGCTAAAATGAGTTTCCTAAGAAACATCTGGTTGCAATTATATCCCAACAGTGTTAGTTAGCCTTCGTGTTCCTGTGACACATTCCTAAGAAGCACAGTTTTTACAATGTATTTTGGCTTGCAGTTTGGAGACTTGGGTCCATGGTCAGCTGCCTGTCACTTTGGGCCCACAGTAAGGCAGAGTATCTGACAAGGATGTGTCGTGGAACCGAGTTGCTCACCTCATGTCAGCCAGGAAGCACAGAGGTAGAGAGTGAGGAGGGCCTAGAGATAGAGTCATCTCTTTGAGAACACAGTCCCACGCACTGATTCCTTCAATTAGGTTCTACTTCTTAATTTCTACCATTTCCCAGTGATGCCACAAGTTAGAAATTTGTCAATAGACTCACCCACTGATCGTAGAGGAAGCCTTATGATGTACTCATCAGGATCCCCATCTTCAGCTGCACCAGAAGCTTTTGAGGGACACTTCCCATGGAAACACAAGACAGCCTTTACCTGCCAATTAAAACCAAGCCCCTCTCCCAAGGACTTTTGATGTCCTTCATTAATTACATTCATTTTGGGGGGATCCCCCCCAAAGCGTGTATCTCCTAGCATCTTCTATACCTCAGTCTCAGAGCTGATCGTCTACCTCATGTTCTGACGTAACCTCGCCAGTCAGTATGTCCTTCTGTTCCAGATACTGTTATAGCTCCAATCTCTATTAAAAATTGAGCATTCAATACATATAGTACTGCCGGGTACCCTTTTAAAAATTACCTCACTTTTCTTTCCGATTCTGAAACAAAACCCAAATGCATAATAAAACCCTGAGAGGAGTTCAGGCGATTCTGGTTCCAGACTCCTCCATAATGGACATCCCCTGATGTCACTGCTGCGTTCAGCCCCTTTATGTTCCAGGAGGGGACATGTTGTCAGCCCTCTTGAGTGTGTTTCTCTTGCCAAGCATCTACTTCTCTCTATTTTTTCCCATGGGAGAAAATTGCTTTTCTCTACCAGAACCTAGAAACACGATCTCCCCCCCCCCCCGCCCCGGGGTCTTCTCCAGTACTGGGGATAGACATTCATCTCTTAGTTTTTAGGCTGGATGCCCCTAGTGCAGTGTTGAACACACTGACTGGTTTCCTCTGCTTCTCACATGTGCTCTCACAGTTACATCTAGTTCATCATTTTGTCTTCCTCAGAAGTGACCACAGTGTCTGCCACAGTATCTAGAGTTCAGTTGATAAAACAAGGAAAAGAAGAACCGTCTATGTGTTTAAACTGTTTAAAGATGCCCCTAACTACACGTGGTTGGACTTTGGGTCTTTCAACTTTATGGTGTGAAGGTGCCATGTGAAATAGAAACTGTACTTTGCCTTTTTAATTGAGATCTTTTCCTTGGCTGGTGATGCTGGGTCAAGACCCTCCCTGTCTGGCAATGCTCACAGCATCAAGGACTATTACTAGTAAGTCAGCCACAAGGGGAAACAGCAGTATTCTACAGTTCTCTCTATGACTAAGTAGTAATACTTAGTATGTCACATACAGTCACTTTAATGGCACTTTAGTTAGTGACAGTTCATCAGGATGTAACCCATCCTCTGACTAAGAGCACCTGTAGTTGAAGGATTAAGTACCCTCTTTATTTCAACATGTTCAAATCATTGTTGTCCTCACCCCCACGAACTGTACCTCCCCACTGTGTTCCTTGTGTTAATAATGAAGGTCCCACTCTGCTGACCTGAATCTGGGCATTGGGAATGATCTGTCTCTTGTCCTTTGGGTCACTCAGTGAGTCATATGGCCTATGAATAGACTGATTCCTATATACCTCCCAGGTGCATTGATGGCCCTTAAATCCTACTGCCCAGAAACTGCCATGTAGTCACAAGTATAACTCCCACAGGATACCTACCGCCTGGCACATAGTTGAGTCCATCATTATTTGTGAGTGAAGGGGTGGCTTATGTCAAAAGCATGTTCAAAACCCAACAGACAAACTCTAGCCACATGGTCAAGCTCTCAAGCACTGTGTTTGATGCAGCAGACAAGGGAACGATTTTATGAAGACAGGGATCACATGGTAGATGAAAGCTGCCCGTTTACCTGGCTACCAGGAAGCAAAGAGACAGGAAGAGGAAAAGCCAGAGTCCCAATACCCTGTTCAATACCCACACCCTTGATCTTCCTCTCAATGGACCCCACCTTCTAAAGATTGCACCGCCTCCTGATAGCACTAGGCTGGAAATCAAGCTTAACACACTGGACTTTGAGGGAGTACTCCAAATCCAAACTATATCAATGTGGGTATTGGGGTCAGTCTTACGTGTTGCCTAAAAGACTCACAACCTCCAGGATAAAAGGAAGTGAGGTGATTGTAAAAATCTAGTGGAAGTGTGAATGATTTTAATATTGTTCATTCACCATAGGAGGGGCCATTCCCTGCTCAAATCTCAGTGCTTTGAGGGTCTGAATGTAGCAGCCGGGCAGTAGTGAGTGGCAAGCTGTGGGTAGCGGAGACAGGAGTACCAGAATAGACAGCAGATCAATGTTTTCTTCTTGCCCTTTCTTTTCTCAACAAACAGTTCTATAGAGGTTACACCTGCCAGATATTGGGTGAGAAATTACCACATGAACAGTTACCCTGACACTCCTGTGAGTCTTCACATGGCCTCTGGAGGGTTATGTCACCTGCAGAATGAGCCCCCCCACCCCCACCCCAGACATCTTCATCCCCCTTCCCAGCCACCTTCGTCAAGGTTGGATAAATTCGATCAGGATGGTGGTGAATGTCTAGCTACTCAGGAGGCTCAAGTAGGAGTGTTGCTTGGGACTCGGAGGCTGGGGCCAGCCTACATGTCACAGTGAGCACCTGCCTCTTTAAATATTACCGAATTCAATAAAGGTGTTCTAGATCTCTAGAGTTTGGCTGACTGTCCCCTCACTTTCAGAACATGCCGATAGGGCTCTCATTCCAAAAGGCAAACAGAGCTCAAGTCACATGGTTTCTGTCATCTGTCACCATGGAAAATGCTGGCCATCTGTGAGGCTCCCGTTTTAACACTCCCCCCCTCTTCTCTTTATTTCCATCGCTTTCTTGGAAAAAACAAGCTGAGGAAGTGGAGAGGCTGGCGGCAATGCGTTCTGACTCGCTGGTCCCGGGCACACACACCCCGCCTATCCGGAGGAGGAGTAAGTTTGCCAACCTGGGAAGGATTTTCAAGCCTTGGAAATGGAGGAAGAAGAAAAGTGAAAAGTTCAAGCACACATCAGCAGGTAAGGTGCCTGCTGGCCTTGGTTCTCATTGGCTGTTCACTGAGTTAAACATCTCATCTTAATTCAGAGGATTTGATCCCCATCAGCTGTCTGACCCAAAGCAGAAACTCCAGCCTGGGGACTGCTGTCGACTTTACTAATTCCTGATATAATAAGGACTGGCTTTTAAGTCTCAGCCGCTGTCCCATCTCTCATGGAGATTTTTCTTTTTCTCTTGTTGGCTATTTTTTAATTTAAGAAATAACTGCTTTTGTTTGATCTATAAATAATCTGAACTTGGAATGTCACCTTTTCTATAATTGAATACTTTCACTCCAGCCCTGACAATCCATTCCTTATTATTCACCCTGATATTCACTGCTCCAGTAAAAGTCAACAGACAACAGAAAATGACTTATGGACGGTCGTTGGCAGATAAGATCAGGTTATTTCATGGAGGAAGAATCATGAATAAATGATTCTTGGACAAGGCAGAAAAGCAAAGAGTGGAAGTGAGCCATCACCGCAGTTAGCCACACACTTCATAGCTCCGTGGCCAGCTGGGAAATGCCGGGGGAGAGAAACTCAACTACAAATCCTCACTCCTGGAACCAGACTGCCTGGGTTCAAAGCTGGTACTTGCTGGTTACAGGAGCGTGCTTAGTTTATTTGTCTGTACCTCGGCTTCCCCATCATTAAAAGAGGAGGGTAAGAATCAGTACTTTGCATGAATTTTTATTTGTGGAGACAATGAACAGGTGGCCATTTTTAAGTACATGAGGATGTGGAGAGGAAAATATGTAGGGAATGACAAGGAGTTTTTACCCTGGTGGTTTTAGAGAAGATGGTAGGAAATCTGCGCAGATTGGATTTAGATTTGTGGTAATCTTGGGTTGGTACATGCTCATGGACCTTCTTTTTATGTATACCCAGAGAGAATGCTGTCTGGGTGTCATCCGAGGGGGAACTTATCAGAGGGCCCTCTGCTCTTTACCTCATCTAGCTAGTCTCCAAAGACACACATCTCCCTACATTCACACCAGGGCTTTAGGATTTGGCATATGACCTTGAGAATACTACAAGTTAGTGTACAGCCCTTTGTTTCTCTTCGTAGATCTCATCAGTCCCTGGGCCCTCTTCCAGGCTTTTATTTTCCTCTTCCAGCATTTTCTAAAATCTCATCCTGTTATCGCACCTCAAGGCCATTACCTCCTCTATTGCTTGGGCTTCTGCCCTCTGCCTCCCTCTTAAGAAATGATCGGCTTCTTGTGCCTGAATGTTCATCAACAAATCCAACAATCTCCAAGCCACACAAAGAAACTAGAGTATCAGAGAGGAAGATTTTGAAATGGACGTGGGTCTCATGGCAGACACTCCCAGGACCGTTCCCTGAGCATTGTAACCTTATAGCTCTGATTTGCTGGTATCTGAAGTGAGAATAGGCTTGTCATCTCACAAGTTTCCAAATCATTGTCCCTGTGGACCAGTCCCTTCACTCTGACTCTGCCTTCTCTTCCTCCCTGTGGATGGAGGCAAATATGATGGTATTGGATATCTCATGAAATATTAAAAATCTGAAAACTTTGTATGTAAAGCTGTTTTGAGAAAACACTCCCAGTCTATAACTAGTAGACTTCCTTACTTTAAGTCCTTATGGCATAGTCACCATGACTGGGCTATTTGATCTGGCAGTGAAGAATGCCATTTACATATGACTTTTGTCTCTTTTTAAAAGGCACAATTCCTAAATGGACATAGTTTCAAACTGCCCTCTAAATCTGTATCTCTGTACCTGTGCCTAAGTGCATCTTGCAGACCTCACCAGAGAAGTTTCTTTGTACAATGGTTGGCTGTTAGTACAGAAATTCCCAAAGGTGGAAGTACAGAGAATCAGTGTCTGCAGAGTGCTCACCCATAAAGAGCCATCTATATCACACCTCCTTACCCCACAGAAGAGGGAGCAGAGGTCAGGGAGAAATGGGGTGAACCAGCCTCCTCAGATTTGACAGGGCCACTGTACACATGTATTCTCAGTGGCTGTGGTTGTCTACAGAACACCTTTATGAGATCAAGCCAGTTGGCATCCCGGCATGGAGCAGGAAAGAGCTCATATCCATTTTAAATATGAAAAAGAAGTAGAGAGAAATGTACTCTGTAGGCAACATAAGGCAGAAGACAACAGAACAGAAAGGGAATGAAAGTGTCCTCTGAGGGCCTAGTGACACTTGTTACTGCTGAGGAGTTCCTTAGCTTTAACGTTGTGGCCCCAGCCATTGTCCATGCTCCAGGGGATGGCTCCTAAGCCACATATACAAGAGCAGTACTAATTGGGCTCAGTGAGTTACTATATAAAAAAGAGAGAAAGTGATGAGGATTGACTGACAGATCTAGGAGGAGTTGGGGGAGGAGGGGGATGTGAATATGATCAAAATACATTATAAGCATGTAGGAAATTATCCAAAAAATCATAAGAATATGAAATCAATAAAAAGATGTACCTCCTGGATCAGAAAGTAGAGGGTACACTATAAAGCATCTTTTTTACTATCATAGATGGATGAACACACCACATTGCTGAAGCTATTCCAGTTTATTTTAAACTTATGTTTCACCTTGTAGCATCCTTTCTACTTAATTGGATTCCAGAATGTTATTTATTACTTTTGCAGAGGAAATACTTCTGGGCTACTTCTTAGCCCAAAGGGATAGTCTGACAACATAGGAATAGTCAACACAATGAATTGTATACTGCTATATAATTAAAAATGTTGACTTCCGTGTGTTTGGATAAGTCACAAATATGAGAAATATACAAGAGGATCCCTAGGTTATGAGAATACGAACTGGTCAGCCATTTTCAGCTGGTGTGCATACATTTGTCTTATATGTGTGTGCTGTTATTCTAATTGAAGCTGGTAAGGCAGCTCATTCAGGGCCATCACAGTAGGTAGAGCAGCCTTTGCAGTGGGGTCTTTCAGTCAGGGAGTGAGTTCAGATTTCACTCTGAAGTCTCATCCATCCTAGGAAGATGCATGAGGGTGAGTGGGTGCATAGCGACTGTGAGAAAGCATCTTTAGGGATAAAAGCCCTGACTTAATCACCTTAAGGTTTTTGGATTTTTTGTTTTGTTTTTGTTTGTTTGTTTGTTTTTTTTCTGAAATCAGGACAGGATGCTCAGACATCATTGAAAAGAGATGTACTATAAGATAAGGATCCCCACTGGAGCCAAGGTGGGTCATATATCAAAGGTAGAGGAGTCTAGCTAAAACTGGACGATACAGAGAGGAACACAGACACTGCAGACCTTTGCTAGTCCCCTCCGTTGCTTCCTGATCAGCAGGGATGTGAACAGGCATCTGCTTTAATGAAGCCCCTGCCACCATACCATCCCCACCACAACAGACTTACATCCCCTCACTGTGAGCCTCCTCTACGTTGTTTCTTATTAGATGCTTGGTCACAAGGACTAGAATAGTAACTAATACAACACAGATGACTTTTTTTATTAGATGTGGCTGTCCATCACAGCTATGGATAAAGCTATGGGAGCATCCTGGGTTGGAATTTTGCCAGTTGAGTAAAAAGAGAACCAGGAAAGAAAAGGAAAAAGGAAAAGGGGGAAGAAGGTTAGGGAAGGGAGAAAAGAAGAGAAGGGAGAGGAAAGGAAGAGATTTGTGTTCATGTCCAAGATTACTGGCACAAGTTACCATAAATTCAGTGGTACAAAGACCTGGAAATGTGTTGGCTCACAGTTCTGAAGACAAAGTCCACAGTCAAGACACCAGCAGGGCTGGCTCCTCCTGGCATTCTGATAGAGAAGTTCTTCCACCTCTGTCCCTCCTGCTGCTGACTATGTGAGCCTTGCTTGGTCCATTGCTGTGCTTTGTCTTTGCCTGTATCTCCATCTGTTTCCCGTGTGCCTCTCGGGGTCTCCCATTCTTTGCTTTCTCTTACAAGGACATTGGATTTTTGAATAACAATTAGTCATGATCCCATTCCAAGATACTTCTGAGCTAGGCATGGTGTCTCACACCTGTTAGCACAGTACTAAGAAGACCTGTTATATAGTGAGTACCAGGCCAACTAAGCCTACATAGTGAGACCCCCCCCCATCTCAAAAGAACAGCATCAACAAAATACTTTGACTTTGTGATTATTCGCTATTAGCTTATTTTCAAGTAACTTCTCATTTATGCTCACTAGGGACTTTCACATGTCCTTTGGAAGGTTACAAGAGTTTAAATAGACATGTAGAGTAGAAAAGAGAACTCCAGTAGCTTGACAGGAATTAAAATAGACAGTAGACTTCAAGTCCCAGAGAGGTCATAGAACTTCAGACTATCAACGAAGTTAGTAGCAGAAGTAACTTGAAAGACAGGCAAACACGGTGATAAAATCCAGATCCTCAAATAAAGGCTTTTCAAGATGGTACTATATGGAAACAAATCAGAGACTGAAACCGTCGGCTAGGCGTAAATACCTGTATATCTTATTTGTAAACATTTCATGCCGACTTAACTTTGTCGTTGTCAATCATATAAGACAAGAAATTTTGCTGTGTAGTTTTCATATTAAACTATTGAGGTGGCAATCCCTCTGGACGATTCTCCATTCTTTTTCCAAACTCAGGTGTTTTTCACCACCATTTTTGTGAGTGACTGAAGTACTACCACTTAATTGAGTCATATAACTCAAGGGTTGCTTTCCAGTCCCTTTCTTCTTCTATTAGCAGACGCTCCTGATAGAAACAGTGCTATACTAGGACAGCAGCTCCCAGACAGTTGTCACTGCTTGCCTGTTTCCCTACCCGCTGTGAGTCACGCTGGCACTCAGCCCTACCCAGCTGACAGCAGTATGTCTGAGGTAGAAACAGTAAGCCCTCCATTGGTGGATGCAGAGATACCCACTCCCTTTTGCACATGGTTTTTCTGTGCCAGATAATACATGTAGAGCAGGATTTGTGGACAGGATATATTATATGGGCTCCCAGAAGCAGAAAGCACTGGCTTCTCCTTGGGCTC